ATGTATTTACTCCTAAACTCTGTGAACTCATTGTCGTTCCTCTGACCTCTCACCCAGGACAGCCTTTCCTTCTGTTATGTTTCCCATTCTGACATATGTTAGCTTTGAGTGTGATTTGTTTAATTGCCTGGAATGCTGCCATTGTGTGGCAATTTCTGTTCTGATAATTGCCTTAAATACAGGTTAATGTGTGGACTGGAGCTTTTGGGGCAGAAAGCTTATTACCATTTAATGCTGACTGTTAGTTACATGGAACAGCAGAGAAAGCGTTACACTTTAACAAGGCTGGATGTGGGCCATGAGAAAAGCCTTCCTTGTGGCAGGTTTTGCCTCCTATGACTTCATGTTAGCAGTCACGCTGTGGACTTTTATTACAGAAGAGTTGTTGAGACTATTTGAGAAATAATTCATTTATTATTCTTAAGATGTGTTTGCGCCGGAGGGGAATCAGGTCAGCTGTTTAATCATGTGTGAAACCAGCAGCAGTGGCCACTGAACCAAGTATAAAACTGTACAAAACCACTACAATGGCCGAAATATATACATCTCTGACCGTTGCTAACAGGCATTCCCAATCATACAGCATTAGCCTACACGTTGTGTGAACTCCTCATTACAATCTGAAAGCATGTCAGAATGCAGGCCAGGCAGAAACTGTAGCTTCTTTTTGCTGACCTTCACTGCAGACAGGCAAAGTGTGAAACACTTCAAGATGCAAAGCTTTTCTTCAATTGTTTGCGATTCAAATATCTGATAAGAGTGTAGAGAATTCATTTTTTACAAGACACAATGTGTGGTTTGAAAGCTACATAAGTTTAATTAGTTCTGTCTCTGGTGATGCCCTGAGGCTTGACATTAATCTGTTCTGTCTAACAGGCGTCTTCATGTTTTACGCCTCCCATGGCCATAAAACCCAACGTCAGATTTGCGATATAAGAGGATAATATTATTATGCTAAGGTGATTAGTATTGAAAAGTTCATCTATGAGTTACATAAAAATAATATCATGTTGCAAGCAGGTGGCTGCCAGAGATCATATCATCAGCAGCAGGAGTGCAGCATTCCTGCTTATGTACAGCATTCACTGGCAATTATGTTAAGAAATGGTCTTAATCCAAGATGAATGCTTACAGTTTTTATCACCATTACCAGAATAATGTTTGTATTTCTCAGACTTTAAAACTGGATAGATGATTTGATGCTAACCTTGAATGATACTGTATCACATCAGGGGTGGGATAAGGTTATCACAGTGAGAGTGTTTCTCTGCTCTTTCGTTCACAAACAGCCAAAGCCCCATTATGTGCTGCACAACATTATTTGACTCTATTGCACTGAAACTATGCAAAGATATGCCTTACAACATGCTCAGTGCACTACATTTTCTTGAAATAATGCACCATAGGCCTGTATTCATTTGCAAATACAAAGAGTTGGCAGTGGTTCAGCTTTGTTTACCTGTTGTCTCCTTTTCCATTTGAGGGTGGTGGGTGCAGAACTGTTTGGTTGTCTTCCATATCCACAACACATTTTGTATTCAGTTCAATTTCTGTGGAGAGAAGTGTGTTATTGGACAGTAAAGCAGATTGCGGGGGTGTGAAAAGTAAAATCGTAGCGACTTTAGCTGTGTTCAATAGACTGAGCTCTGACTTCATAACTCGAGCTGAAAGCAGCAATGGCGAAGAAATCCAAACTTTATGATAATGTTGCATGAATCCGAGGAGACAGACAGTTTGCAAAGATAAATCATCGTTATAACACTTACCCCTGCGGTTCATGGGCCGAACTCTCACAGCAACTTTTACCTTTGAATCCGACATTTTTGTCCACTTTTTACTCCCACCCTGTCTATGCGCTGAGCTAGCGATGTATAGTCTGTGAATCCCCGACAAGAAGCCCGGGTTTCTGCCGGTAAAAAAGGCAGCAGACTCTAGTTAAACAGCCCTAAAAGAGTCCAGACCTCGAGGAAATGAGATAGCAATGTGTTCATTTTTCCGTTATATCCATCTAGGTTCGCTATTTGTGCAAATCCAGCACACTGCTCCAGCCCCAGACAGCATCCCCACCGCCATCTTCCACTGGGAGCACGACTGCTCTCCTCTGGCGGACTGGAGACGGCTGTGCCAAACAGGGAAAGGATTTACGCACCACGCCGCTTATCGGGGGGAGACAGGGGGAGAGCAGTGTGAGGCTGTCTGACATGTTCATTCACATGCTCCCGAGAAAAGCATCATGTTAGGACAGTTATGAGGTCAGAAGAGATGAGGGTTTATTAAAAAGGCTTTATTCAAATGTCTGAGCACACTCTCTGACAAACACATTAGTATTATTAATATTACTCTCACCAAATTAAAATAGCCTAATATGTTTTTATGTCACAAAGCATTTTGTAATTTGTTTTATTTATTATATAACTTACATATGTTTCACTAGTTTACACACATACCCATAATAACTTAAGTAACCATATTTGAGGACATTTTTACATCCACCATGTGTAAGTGTTAATTATAGGAAAACGTAATACATGATCTCAGTACCCAATGTGCCCTTTTTTTAGCAGACCCCATTAGAACAAAACCACTTATTTTTGCTCAAATCCCCATCATAGATTTCTGTCCTTCTAAATATTAAATGTGAGCAATTTAATCAAAAGTGATTATTTTTTTCATTTTATTTCTGTGGCTCCAAAAGCTGAAAGTATCCAGTGTATCACAATAACATTAAACAGTTGAATGTAACAAATCAAACCAAAAACTGTCTAAAATGTTGTCTATACATTTCATAGCATGCAACCCAAAGCAGCATATACCTCTAATTTCATTACAGTATATTCACATTTATCATTTTCAATATAGAACTTTACTTATATTTATCAATAGTATTGCCAGGTCATCTTATCCCATGATAAGCTGCACTTCACATACTGTAGCTCTGGTAATACTGTCCATAAATTAGCTATGTCAAGGGCCCATTATCAGATTTAGCAGAATAAATCTTCACTGTATGGTCTCCACCATCCAGAATGATGAGGGAGTTGTTCAGTGTCACCAGTCCAACTGGGCGGATAAGGTCATCACCAACCAATGGGGTCAGGGCGGGGCCACTCTGGAGCTGCCCCAAATTCCAAATCATCCCCATATTGGAGTCAATAACAATCACATCTCCATGTTGGTCAAAGGTCATGACTGACATTTGCAGCCTCACTTTTGACTGCAGCATCAAGCTGAAAGTGTCCGTCTGATAAAGGAGGCGGAAGTCTTTTGTGAACACTCTCAGCCTGGTGTGTGGGTTCCTCCCTGGTGGATATGTGTCCTCAGGTAAATGCTCCATCACTGCAGTGTTCCCAGTCGCTCCACAGCAGGCCACCGCTTTTGGATGCTGCAGGTCTGATACGACTCTTTGATGCTTTACAGCGAGACCGTTTATAAAGTCCACCTTTACCTGAGACAGCGTACCGGCCTGGATGTCTGAGACCAGGATGTGCCCACAGCTGTCTGTATCTACACCCCAGGGCATCTGAAAGGAATCTTTCACCGTCAACACGTGGATTCCCCTGGAGGTGAAAACCTTCAGGGCTTTATCCCCAGCATCTGTCACCACCACGTGACCACAGGAAGTCACCGCCACATCCACTGGGAAACAGATCTCCCCACTGCCTTGTCCTTTTGGCCCAAAACTGTGCAGCTTCCTGCCCTGTGGACTGAACACCACCACCCTCTTCTCGCCATCATGCACCACCACTATAGTACCTGAAGATCCCAAAACGGATATCCCAGTGGGGTTGATAAGAGTCCCCCACCCTCCAAAGGCTGTGCAGTGGTGCAGAGCCCTGGCTGTCAGACCTTCAGCCAAGCCAAGGCCTTCCTTTGCCCTGTGAGGAGGGGCAGGGGGTGTGGGACTCTGGGACAACAGCAGCTCCTGCAGGTCACTAAGAGCCTGGCAGTGGGAGTTGCTGTCAACACTGCACAGCTGTCGACAAAACGGGCACTCCAGCTTCCTCAGGAGAGGGTGGGACAGAGCCCTGATGCATTCCAGACAGAGCACATGGCCGCAGGAGAGGTTCTGCGGTCTGTGCTCCCTCTGCTGAGTGCTGAACTTCTCGAAGCAGACTTTACACTCCAGCAGGTTGATCTGGATCTCTCTGAGAATCTCCTCAGGACTCCTCAGGGAGCCTCGACTCGGGAAAGCAGGACTCTCAGCCATGAATTATATTGATGTTCTTCAAACCTACTCAGACAGATCAGTCAGCTGATGCAGGCTGCAAAGGTTCAGAGCCAAAAATAGCTGGATTAAAAAAAAACAAGGTTCACTTAAATGGATAAGTAGCCTAGTGAAGAGAGGGCTATGAAGGCAGAGCACTGCAACATTCTTGTCAACACACTCATGTCCTTTGCTTAGGCCCAAATTGTCATGTGACATTATGCATTAAACGGAGACTCACTGCTGCCCTCCTTTGGAAATCAGCTGACACACATGCTGGAGCCCCCATTGTGTTTTGAACACTGAAAGCAGAGGACATCACACAATTAATAAATTAATATAAGGTATTACAGCTTTCTGGATCAGAACCAGGATCTCCAATTGCCGTTACCTGGTGTTCGTGTGCCTGAACACTCACTGTTTGGCGACAGCTGCGACTCATGGCTTTTTCTTTCAGGAATTACTAGATCTCCAGTTGTTACTACTGTTCATGTTAAGACCTAAACAACATTATGTTCTGTTCCTTTCAAAGGGAACATGAAGCATACCTTCAAAAACACGTTGTTATAGGTCAGCACGAGGCAGCTATTTCAGTCTCTCAGTTTCAAGGTTTGCAGACGGAGTGAAATCTGATCCGAGACGGGCAGTGCTTCAGTCAGCCAATCCCTCAATCCTCTGCTGCAGCAGGGCACTCTTTGGGGGTCAAGCAGGTCATCCAGGATTTCCTTTTGTTAGGTGTTATTGTTGCTGTAAACTGCTGCTTCATTTAAAAACTACAATAATAATCCACAAAGAGTTTAAGAGGAAATGTAAAACATTTTATTATGTTTCTTTATTTCACAGTGAAAAAGAACAGCCATTTTTTATAGGAATTATTTTTGGCAAATTACATCTTAATCCAGAGACATGTACCCTTAGTCGTGTCTACAGTAGCAGAGGAGCCTGGTCCATTCCACAGAGGTCCACCTCTGGATTGTCGAGGATTATGAAGGATATATGTGTATTTAGATGATGCTGACAGAGCAATGAAACTAAACCTTCAAGAAAGCACTCAAGAGCAGAAGAACCAAACACAAAAAGGCAGAATTTAGTTTCAATACAAACTGAAAAAAGTATGGAGTAAAAAAGAAACATGCAAACAGGCACAAGGTGTGAATTAAAATGTTACAATGAGAGTGAAATACGTAAAAATAACAATACTGGCGCCTTGTTGTGTGGTGTTATACAAAGATCTCGAGTACTCTTGTAATATTCTACTACTAAAACACTTGATTTGACACAGCCATGCAGATGCGATATATGCCGTAACAAGAAGGTTGACAGTCAAACCAGACGTGCACTCGGACAGGTCGAGCCTGACGTCTCATGCAGGAATCGGAATAATTGTCCTCTGTAATCAGTAAAGTAAAGAAAAAGAAAAAAAGCAGCCACAGATGGACACGGAGAGTAAAATCACTCAAGGTCACAATGATTCACATAATACTCAAGCATAACAAAATGTACAGTATTTGCAAGAAAACATTCTGAAAGTGATTAGACTATGTGTTTCGTTTTGTTCCTGGTCACACAATCCTCAGTCAATGATCCTTACAAGCTTGCATTGAAATTCTGCCCACATTCAAGTTACAAACACGAAACAAGTGTGAACATCTATGATTTAAATAGACGATAGATGATGATGCTTTTAATAGACGTTGTCCTTTGTGTGCTATAAACATAAAGGGTCCAATTAACGTAATAAATTCTTCATAATGGCTTTTAACATTAAAATGTGTTGGTCCAACATACTGGAGTTACGGCTGGAGTAAACCAGTCAAATGTACATTGGCCATCATTGATATACTGTGTCATAGAATACATGTTTGTAAATTATTGTTCATTAGCTACAATGATCATGCAGTCACATCTACACCATTTTCCCTCTCTCTGTCTCTACACACAGAAACCTGTGATCAATGGTTCAGGAGTTTTTTTTTTATGACTACAGTTCACAGTTTAAAGTGTTCATCTCTGTAGCCCAAGCCTCTGTGCACTCCTAATAACTCTGCATGGGCCTGATATCCACTTCTCCTCCTCTGTCTCCACTCCCTCTACTGTAGGTGCAAGCTTTCTAGATTTTATTTACACCAGGAAGTGGTTGCATCTTTACTCCCTTTTCAACCTGGGATCCTTCACACCTGGCTCCTTGGAGTGAGTTCAGGAGACACACACCAGCCACTGGCTCCGACTCCTACTGGCTGTCCAGCCCGTTGACAGATTGGGTGTTTGCGGAGCCCTTCCCTCTGAGTCTGGTTGTCGGGCTGTCGTCGTCGTCTTCGTCGTCGTCTTCGTCTTCGTCCAGCGATGTGTCTTCTGAAACAGTGAGGAATGAGTTCATACAAATATTTTACTGAACCTTAAATTATGAGTGAAACTCAATTTCAAAGACCTTTACAAGATTACAGTTCCTGTAAATATCTATGTTTTAACTTTAATCAGCCTCTCTTATGGTTGATGAATTAAATCAAAATCAATGTACCTTTTAACTCTTCTGGCGCATATTCATCATATTCATTGTAATAACAGTCGTCTTCTGAGAGGGTCTGTGAAAAGAGAAGAGGAGACATGTGACACACACACCAAAACAAAACCTGACCCTGTGAAGCTTTCAAAGCAAACTGACTGGTAGCAATGTTTAAAAGGGAAAGGATTTGAAGCTTATATTGACACAGGGCAAGTGATCTTATTGTGTAACCTTTCTTGCTTTATTGCTGTGTTCGGGATGTTTCTGGGCATAGCAACCAGGTGCCAAATCATAGCATCATCTACAAAAATGTCAAGAAAGTGCAAATACACTTCTTAACTGTAAAGCAATAGACATACCTTTTCATTTGGACCATAGGTTTCAGCATACCAAACCATTCCGTACAGGCAGAGGAATGTAATGAAGGCCTATAAACAGATAGATGGTTTAATGATTTGTTGAAAATCTTTTATAAATAATTAACAACAGATAAAGCTTTTCAGGTTGAAAAGTTTATGATGTAAAACAGAAAGAAATATGTGAATATGTGTGTCGACGGCAAGTCACAAGATTCAATGTATGACCAGCCAACTACTGACTGAAGAGCATAGTATATTGTTTTGACCCAGAAATGCAACATTACTGATCTTACCAAACACAGCAGCCACAGGACCACGTACAGGACCTGGGTTTTTGAGAACAAGTCCTGTCCAAACTTAATGCATCCCAAGGCCTCCAGAAAGGCTACTGCCCTGTGAATGAGGGGGAAAAAAACATTAAAGCCTCTGACCGACCTGCAGTTCACTTTTAATATTACTAAAAAACAAATATGCCGAATATATGCAGCTTTTAACTGAAAGAAAAATAATCAACCTTTGCTAAAACACTTACCCAAACACCCAGCACTGGGTCCCAACTCTCTTGCACTGTGTGTCTGTAAGGTACGCATAATACTGCCTGAAGCAAAGAACAAACACAAAGCAAATATTAGAAAATATGACTTGTAGTTTAACATGACTGCCTTATGTTGGTCAAAATAAGGATCACAATTTAAGCATATAACACTATCCCAACAGATCTTTCAATATCAGTTTATATGGATTACTTTCCTACCAATATTTAATTGTTGAGTTGGATTCTTTTTACCTGACTGTTGGCGCTGTGATGATACCAACGAACAGGATCCGACACCAGCTGAGAGGATGGCTTGCAGGAAAGACGAAAATGTGCTTCAGGAAGAATGTGTTCAACTCTGTAAGCTGTGGACAAAGAGAAAAACAGGTTGAATAAGGATTGTTATGTGTAATGGCTTATGTATACAACAAAGAGAAAATGATGGAATATTTCCGTTTTCAAGCATATTGAGTTTGAAATCTAGAGTATAGGAATGTTAGCACTTAGTCTCATAATAAATAATCTTAATTACAGTATTTAAGAACAAATAAAGTATTCATATTTGATGTATAGTTTCAAATCTAAAAAGCCAAATGTAATGTCCCTGACAATGTTGTTTGTTGCAATGGTGGGTGGGGGGGGTCGTCTTCAGCATATTTTGCAATGTGACACAATACAAGTTTAGGATTATGGTCATATGACCGACTAAGCCAGTTAAGGAAATCTCACTGTTTGGCTTTTGCTTTGGCTTTATCCTGCTGTACTGTCGTAAATCCATTGTACGTATGAAAACGGCGACATTTCCTACTATGTTGACACAATATGGATGTGAATGCCTTTTTAATCTATTGCAACTGCAGGTCAGCATCATTTCTGGTGCGCTTGAATACAGAGCCAACATAATACAACTATGTGATACTTTTAATTTCAAAGCAGAAGTCTGTAAATAAACAATTAGTTCACGGTCAAATGTTTTTAACACTGCTATATTCAAACTTCTAGGGACATCTCCAACAATGGGCTCATTGTTGGTTTTCAAGTTATAAAGCTAGAAAATATAAATAAGTCATTAGGAGAGGAATTGTTTGTGACTTTATTTCATTATAAACAATCTCAAAGTTTGTTGTTTAATCCTACGTGCATTACATGTATTGTACCATTCCTCCTAGTTTCTATGTGCCCTTGAATTTAAGAGTTGCTGTATACTTTTCTGGCAATTTAAAATTAGGACAATCGTTGCTTTGTCAGACTATTATTAAATTACCTTGTCTCATGAGCTGTCTATTTTTATCACATAGTTGTCCATTGGCTTTACCATGCGCCAGTTATAGATTTAGGGACCATAAATCTCTCTCTCAGCAGGGCTTTACACAGAACAAGCACAGGTGTGGTAGCAAATAACATCTAATGACAGCTCCATTCCATAACATGAGCCAATAAGCCGTGCCAGCAGGACTGTGTGTACAGAACCAGAGCCCTTGAACTGGCCTACCTATAAGGAATGCAGCCACTATAATTGTTAGGACTGTAGTTGCGCCTGTGTTTGACAAGTCAAAATGTGCGCTGCGAGTAAGGTCTAATAGCAATGAGACTCAATGTGTGCTTTATAACGAGCAGATGCACTGAAAAAGGTCAACAAGTTCAGCCAGGACACCATCAAACAAGAGCTATCTTACAATGTCACACTTGAATTAACAAATAGTTAGCAGCTCATTTATGGGGACACTCTGTCCAAGTCCCCCTCATCCCCACTGGAAGATAATGAGAGGCCTGCTGCAGTGTTATTCACTCATTTGGCCTTGAGCCTGTGTGTAGAAGAGCAGCTAAACTGTCACCGCGCTGAGACGTCCCCCATCTTTTCAACTACCTCTCACAGACTGATAATTACCATTTAAAGCCTCAAGAGAGTTGGGAACTGCCTGAGTGAGGAAGAGGGATGACAATGTTGCTTCATCACCGCACAAAAAGGAGAGACAGCAGCTTTCAATGCCACGGTTGCAATTGGTTAGAAATGTGGCTGCTACACTTGAATCTCTAATAGAAAGCAATGGAGCTTACTCAAGTTCTCCATCCATTGTTTTCTCATTACCACAAATTGCTCCTAACTAATCTAACGTGTCTTTCATCCGTACGGGATTAACTGTCAATGTGTGGACAGCAGGACACTCTTGTGTTATATGGATCCATGTGAGAGTGGTTTTAGATTTCAACAAAAGAGGAGGCAATTAGATAAGCCCACTCTTAGCACACTGAAACACTGGATGATCCTGACTAGTCAGCCCTGAGTCAGCCTGAGATGGCCAGGGAGGATTTCTCGGTGACCCACCTGCCAGATTATCATGAACAGATAGACGCCCATCACCCGCTGCAGGGAGGACTTTGGGTCAAGCCAGCGTACGTAGGTCCAGCTAGCGGGGGTGAACTGTAGAGCAGCGCGTTTGATCTTCCCCGTGGTGGTGTGGATGTCCCTGGATGGGAAGCACAGGAGAAGGATTACAAAGACTTGCAGATAGATTTACAACAAGTATTATGTTAGTACATTAGACAAAGCCGGATGAAAGTAATGCCATCACATGAATCATTCACTAGCACTCTGCCTTGATGAACTGTCAAGATCATGTTTCAAAAAAACAATTTATGCATCTTTGGATGGTATCTAAAATGATTTGCTTGATGTGAACCTTTTCAATAGAATAGCTCTGTGTCTTGCATTCCCCCGAGGAGATTTCAAAGTAGTATTATCGTAGGTTTTTTATTCCTTGTTATTGTGTAATTGAGATGTTTTTTTGTTTGGTTGTTTATGAGTTTCTGTTTATTGCTTCAGAGTTTTTAATATCAAATATATTAAATAAACACAAGTTTGTCTGGTCTTTCATTGGTCTGATAATAAAATGAATCTTACATTTTCATAATATAGCATAAAGCTCTAAGGATATATTTCACCTTCATACATTTTTAAAGCTTTATTTATCAATCAGGGCTGGGATGCTTGCACCAGACTGGACAAATCCATCAGACTAAGAATGAAAACAAAACTGGACACTGTAACTTGTAGTTGATTTCTAGACTGTATTTTCATACTTGATACTGGCCCAGTGGTAGGTCCTCATCTCCAAAAAGCGACAGACAGTCATGCCGAGCCAGATGCCTCCTCCATTACAGAGCAGAATGTCCAGAATCACTTGGTCCCACCAGCACTCAGCAAAGTTAGGCAGCAGATGCATGAAGAAGAGCTAAAAAGGAGATCATATAGGCTATTAGAGAATACATGATATCTGAAAAAAATACTGATAATGTTTCATCCTGTAAAAATATTACAGGGAATATATAGGGAGAAACATGCTACAAGAGAAGGAATTATTGGATACAGGTTGATAGGGGATGTAACATGTGTTATAACCTGATATGATGTGAGCTTACTTACCTCAGTAAGCTCCCAGGTAATACTGATAGTCCAGCAGAGGCCATAGCTTCGAATAAGCAGGGCCTTCATACCCCAGCCCCAGAAATGGCTGAATGCAAAAATGTCAAGATGGCTCAGGATTCTCTCCCAGGTGATGTCGTGACAGTTCACAGCGTAATCCTGCAAAGAGCAGCGCAGCCTCATTACAATGATTGATAATCCCCATGTAAGGGAACACAATTGGTGCATGTTAATCAATACAAAATATATTTTCTGTGTAAGCCTTCATTGCTCACCATTATGTCTGCCTCTCTCTTGGCATAACGCAGGTTTGGGTCCAACCAATACATCAGGTCCTTCACCTGCCGCCAGTTTAGGAAGATGACCAAAACCAGGAACAGGAAGTAGAGGACACTCAGACCTTAACAGCGCAGAGAAACCACATTAGAAAGGGAAATGTAACCTCCAAAGTGTTTTATTTTTAGCAATACTTACCAAAAACGATACGCCATATTGCTGGATGTGGCCTGGTGAATGGACCTAAAGTGAGGCACATAAAGATGTCAACGATTTATTCTACAACAAGTGATGGGATAGCCACAGTTGTTTGCTTCTGCTTCCTTTTTTTTGTTTGGACAGTTTTACAATGAGGTTCCTGATCTAACAAAAAGTATGCTATGTAAGCGATCAGTAGCACAGTAAAAACCAACTGTAATTGGTGGCTATGCAAACCTGAGGGACTGTATTGTAGTTATGTATTAACAAAATACATAACTACAGGTTCCGTTTTTTGCTCACCGTTAGGAAATGCCAAAACACTAATGACAAGGAAGAACGAGATGACCAGAATCAGCCCCACCCAGAGATTATTGTCCTTATTTTCATCATCCCTGCAGGCAGGGGAAACAGAAATATCATCAGTTATGTTAAACAGCCCATTTTACAAGCAGTATATGTGTTATATTCCCTCCACAGCTGTAAAAATGTTTCACACAGCAAACATGGGGGTTTTGCATCAGCTGTAAAAGATTTGTAGAGCAAAATGTAGCTTGTAAAGCAGATAATCACAGTAAATGTAACGTTACATCGTCCCTTAGATCGTTACATTGTTGTAGCCAATATCAGCACAGGACATGATGTACATCAATAATGCATTATAAGACAAACATCTATTTGTATTGGCTTAAGTTGACGAATAATGACAGCAGAATGAAGGCAGCCATCACTGATATTTATCCCAGTTTCTTCATGTGGGTGTTGATATATTTTTCAGCAAGAAAATCATTTAAAAGAGTAGCTAGCTAATGTACCTGGTGCATCACTGTTAGCCGAGCACTAGCTAACTATGCTAACCCAGCGAGCTAACGCTAGCCGTGAACGACTTACCTTGCGAAGGCGAAATACATCAGACTGAGCACCGTGCATGTCAGCAGCGTTATCGTGTGCGGCCTGTAGAAAAACTCTATGGTGATATCTTCAACCTGCTGCTCGTTTATCATTCGGAAATGCTTCCTGTAATTCACATCATCCTTGCTCAAGGTGTGGGACCCGCTGTACACGGGCGCCATAGCAGGACGCAGGCTGGAGGGCAGCTCCTCATGAGAAAGTGATCCACAACAAACTACTCACAGGAAACCGGTTGAAATTAATATGTACGGTTACATATCTAACTAGCAGCTTCTAAAAGTAGACGTGACAGCTGAGCAGAGTGAGCAACAGGGGAAGACAGTTTTAAAGAAATTGTTCACTTTTGCTTGTGATTGGTGCTGCATGTTTGTAGGGAGTGTCCCATAGCGGAAGAGCTCACTCCTTCCTCATGTGCTGCTGCTATGATTGTTTTTAGCGTGACTGACCTACATGCGACTACTTTAAAGCCTGACAAATGACCAGAGGTTGACTTTTTTATGTTTTAAATAATCCCGTTACCATCTGAGACTACTGTGACCTCCTGAATTCATAGCTAAATAAAATACATAAGCCTACAGGTTTGGGAACATCAACATAGTTATAGCAGTAAAAACTAATTTAATATCAAATGATTGTGTTGTTGAAAACATCCTGCACTAAAAGTGAATGTGCTTCACTTGATTTTGTGTGTTTGACTCCCCTTTGTGGCGGCTAATGGCTTCACATGTCACTGACACACATCCTCAGCCCCCAGCAGGGGTCTACTTAGTGATGTGTCGGTCGCGAACGAGCCGATTCTTTTGAACGGCTCTTTGGTACGAACGAGGGGAACCGAGTCCTCCTTGGTGAGAGCCGTTCTTGTTATCGTTCAATCGTTGGTCCGCACTCACTGCCTGCCAAAATCCACTCACCTTTTAAAAAGCTTGATTTTGTTCCCCAAACGTATTCTGTGAAGACCCGCCCCTACTCTGATTGGTAGGTTTCAGCACGAGGAGTTAGGTGGGGTTGATCTTAACGGAATACGCGAGAGAGAGAAGTCATAACAAGTGGTACAGGACAGGTAGATGATGTGTTTTTCGGATGGAAAATGAGCCAAACGCGAAAACGCAGCAGCATTTGGATGCACTTCAACCAAAACCCAGGCAGTGATAAAGCGTACCATTTGTAAAGGCAAAATATCCTTTAAAGCAGGGTCAACAAATAATCTCCATCGCCACTTAAAAACACACTATCTAATATTAAGAGTTGCATGAATTTCATTCAAGGCAAGGCAACTTTATTTACTTAACACATACAGAGGGTAAATTCAAAGTACATTCACTGACATGATGACATGGATATGGCGCCACCTTGTGTCATGTTTACAATGCCGATTATTGACATTAGGTCTGACAATACAGTCAATCATTATCCTGGTGATTATTTCGCAGATAAACCTAGTAACCCCGCCCCCTTTTAAAAACGGCTCTTTTGAACGGCTCTTTGAAAGGAACGGAGCCATAAGATCCGGCTCCCTTCAAAGAGCCATAATTCCCATCACTAGTCCTCGATGTGCATTTCGAGAAATGAGATGTCCTTCAACATGGCACGCTAAAATTCATTTCCGGGTCACTACCGGAGGACCGAGGAGTCAAGGAGTCGAGGAGGGACATTTGATGAAATGAGAACGGGCCTGGGACGCGAAAATTATAGAAATGACAAACGGCTCATTTCGGAAAACTCACGCGCGTCGGCTTGACGCTGGGACGACCGGCGACCCTCCCCGACAGGCGCACGGACGCGAGGGCCCGCTCATCACTGCGCGCACTTCTGTGACCGCAGTTTTAATTATTATTATTATTATTATTATTATTATTACATTATTAACATATATTATTATTATTAACATATTATTATTATTATTATTATTATTATTATTATTATATTATTAACATATTATTCTTAAGTCTTAATTAACTTAAGTGCTTTGACAAAAAATCCATACAAAAATGTCATCTGTGGAAGCCGTAATACTGTAAAAAGCACGACCAATCATTTTAGCGGCCCGGCTAAAATAACTGGATGGCCTACCTGCCTGTCAGCCTTCCATCTGTGCACAAACTTATCTTGTGCCCTCATTGGTCATGTGCGCGTTCGTGTGTGTTGGAGGAGGGGCTCTATAAGGAAGTGGCAGATTTTCTCCGATTGTGTATTTTCAATTTATAATTTGATTGTGGACATGCTGTGCTGATTTTTCACATGTGGTGCTTCTTAAAATTAATGTAAAAGGAAGGGAAATGGTAAAAATAAGAAATGTGGTCACAAAAATGTTTATAAAACCTCTCACCAAATCACTCTCACTTCTTGTTAAGAGGGGTAGTGCAAGCTGTATGTGCTTATCAGCCAAAAAGATCAGAATACTTTTTTCAAGACAATTGTTCATGGTGATGTCACTAAAAACACATGATCACAAATAACCTCACACGAAAGTTAGTTTATCACATTATTAAGATGTGCAAATAAAAAGTAATGGTCTTTCTTCACACACTGTTATGTGATCATGAGTATTTTTGTACCAATGCCTTCAGACAGCCTTCTGGGTGCAACACCTCCCATTAAACACATGGGGGCAGCAGCGCTCCACTGACAGGAGTGAGCTACTACACGTGTAATTTCGTTATTAAATTCATATTCATTTATTGTTTCCATAGTTTTAAAGAATCTACTTGATTTTATTTAGTCATTCATGGTGTAGATAGTGGGTGTTTCAATGTTTTCATATGCCTTTATTTAAAGCTCTTTGAATTTGCCTTAACAAATCACGTGATTCATAATGGAATGTGTGTGCGTAAATTACACTGGCAAGCACATGCAGTCACGTGTGCGAATGACGTATAGTTCTAGTTAATTGTGACGTATTTAGAATTCGAAAACACCAAAGGTAATTCTAGGGTTCTGGAAGGAAAGTGAAGTTCCATTTCATCTTCTGAACCCTAAACAGGCAGCAGACAGGACAGAAAGTTATATTAATCCTAGATATATAGATAGATATTCATTTATCTCCGACTACATTTACAGCCAGACTTCTTCATCAAACAGTATTACTTATTATCATTATTATCATTGCTTATTAGCACAAAGGCCAGACCATATTTATGTGGCTTCGCCCTGAGTGGTCAACATTTTACTATACTAAATAGTTTAAAGGGTCAAAATAAGTAAATTAATATATGATAGCTTTTCCGTAGAAGCAGCTTTTCATCCTGTTTAGATATTGTGTTATTTTCTATCATTGAAACCTTTGAAAAAGCACATTTACAGCTAATAGTAGTTTAACAGTGGTGTTAACTTAAACCAAGGGCAACTACAATATTTGGAGAAGTTGTTTACAGTAGTAAAAGCTCTTTTGTTTGGTTTACAGTCATGTCACGGAGAAGCTCACGATTAGACTCCCAAGGATACTACAACAATGAAGGACTACCAATCATTTGCTACAAGGAACACCTGAACAGGTAAGCTAAGGTTTGTGTGAGTGTGTGTGTGTGTGTGTGTGTGTGTGTGTGTGTGTGTGTGTGTGTGTGTGTGCGCGTGTGTGTGTGTGTCTACAATTTTCATTATAGATCTTCAGACCTTTAACTTTTTATTTTATTTAAATTACATTCAGGGTTTTTAAAAACAGATGTTTGAGGACCTCTTCATGCAGTAGTAGAGCAGAGTCCACAAGCTACCTAGAAAGACACAAAACCAGCACCAGAAACATAAATAATAACATAAAAACAGACATGGACAAGAACAGAAAGAGTTACAAAGACAGCAAGCAAATGAGTGACTATGACAGCAACGAAATGAGCGACTCCTCCAGAAACGATGTCAACAACACAAGTAGTAACAGACACAGAAACAGCAGGTTCAACCAAAATATGTTTGGCTTTCTCTTCTTCATACTCGTCCTGTATTTTGGTAAGTGTAACAAACAACTCTATCAACTTTAGTTCCTCAGCTTTTTACTTTTATATTTTCTGTCTTTTGAAGAACAAATGTCTCTGACCTGTTTCTTCTATTCTTTGTGTCTCTCCATCTACCAGGATTTGCATGCAGAGAAGAGTTTCTCAGATTAAACAAAGACACAATGACCAACTTCAAGGGTCAAGGTAAGACATTAAAATCATATTTATCATTTTCATTAGCAAACAAACTAGTGACAGTGACAGCAACACAATTAGCAACAGAAACATTGACAGCTTCTTAAACACTTTCATATTGTCTATCTTTTGAAAATCGTGAAAAAAACCGGTTTCTTTTATGCTTTGTTTCCCTCCATCCTTTAGTAAACACATTGAGTGAAGAGATTCTCACATTAAACAAAGTCCTGAACTCCCTGCAACCGGTGGCGGACACTATGCCCAACTTCGCTCTGGAGAGTCAAGGTAAGACATTAAAATCATATGTATCATTTTCATTAGCAAACAAACTAGTGACAGTGACAGCAACACAATTAGCAACAGAAACATTGACAGCTTCTTAAACACTTTCATATTGTCTATCTTTTGAAAATCGTGAAAAAAACGGTTTCTTTTATGCTTTGATTCCCTCCATCCTTTAGTAAACACATTAAGTGAAGAGATTCTCAGATTAAACAAAGTCCTGAACTCCCTGCAACCGGTGGCGGACACTATGCCCAACTTCGCTCTGGAGAGTCAACGTAAGACATTTAAATCATATGTATCATTTTCATCTGTTAGATTGTAATATCCAAACATATTTTTAACTTTGAGAACGATTGTATCTCACTCACTTTGTGCGTGTGTTTTTTCTGTGCAGAGGCAAGAGTTTTACTTGATCAGTCTTCACAAACGTACTCCAAACGAAGAAGCTGCGCCTATCTTTTTGGAATGTTTTGTAAACGACCTGTACACCCAAGGACAGTCCTTCAGGTAGGATCTACAAACACCAAAACAAATGGCAAATTATAGAAAGGTTTGGGATTTTTAAGCAACCTACCATCTCAACTCTATTTTTATACTCTTTCTTCACTCAGGGAGGCTCATCCCCGGCTGTAGGACGGTGCTGGCCCTTTGAAGGTGGGCGGGGGCATTTATTCATCGCCCTGTCACACCCAGTCTACATCAGCCATGTGACACTAGGTCACATTTCAAAGAACTTGTCCCCAACTGGCATCATTCCTAGCGCCCCAAAGACGTTTTCTGTCTATGTAAGTCACAAATGTATCATTGTTACATTACAGATGTTCAGTTTAAGTGGGAACAATAAGGTGTTCAACTGTGTCTCTATATTCCTCTCTTGCAGGGCATGAATACTTTAGATGACAAAGGAACCTATCTAGGAACCTTTCTGTATGATCAGGACGGGGACGCAACACAAACTTTTGAGCTACCTGTGAGTATTACACTATGCAATACACACATGTCCATTCTTCTTTTTCACACACAAGCTGAAATATTAAAGGAGTAACAGTTTTGTCATTAAATAATTTGTTTCCCATACTGTCAGTTTTTACTCAACAAGCTGTTTCTGCTCTTTTCTCACATCTCTTAGGATCATGGAAAAGTTGTCTTCAAATACGTGAAACTACAAGTTGAGAGCAACTGGGGTCACCCCGACTACACCTGTCTGTACAACTTCAGAGTTCACGGAAAGCTGGCAGAAGTTACAGACAGGTAAGTATGCATGCATGTACTTTTATTATTATTATTATTATTATTATTATTATTATTATTATTATTATTATTATTATTATTATTATTATTATTATTATTATTATTATCATTATCATTATTATTATTATTATTACCACATTATTATTATATTATTAACACATTATTATTATATTATTATTATTATTATTATTATTATTATTATTATTATCATTATTATTATTATATTACCATATTATTATTATTATTATTATTATTATATTATAACCATATTATTATTATATTATTAACATATTATTATTATTATTATTATTATATTATTACCATATTATTATTATTATATTATTAACATATTATTATTATTATTATTATTATTATTATTATTATTATTATTATTATTATTATTATATTACCATATTATTATTATTATTATTAACACATTATTATTATATTATTAACATATTATTATTATTATTATTATATTATTATTATATACTGCATATACATTAACATAAATACACCTACAGTTATTTGTGTTTGTTTAGTTACACATTATTAATCAAGAAAATACAATCATTTTTTAAATAAATGATTCAAAATAATGATTGTATTTTGACGCTTTCCGATACCGAGAAAAGAAGAAGACGCTTTCCGATTGTTGATACCGGAAGTGAAATACATTCATATCCGGTGTTAACTATGCGGACGTTAGGCAGCTAACTATTGCTAGTAAGAACAGAGAAAGAAAGCTTCATTCGCCTTTAAAGCGTATATCACAACTATTTCGGTCACCACGAATGGCGTCTCAGATCCCCATCACCGTCCGGGCTCCTCCGGCCGCCGCCATCCCGGCCGCCCCGCGGGGGAAGAAGCGTCCCGCGAGCCCGGCGGCTGGTTCCGCTCAGCCGGTCCCCGGGAGCAGCAAGAAGAAGAAAGGGCAGCTGACAGCCACACCAGCGGCGACACAGACACAGGTACAGTGCTACCGTCTGCATGTGAAGCGTGCATCATTGTGCGAAACTCAGAGATCTATATAACGTTTTCTGTGTGCAAGGGAATTCAAAGTAGCTAAGATGCAATGCAAGGGTTTCAAATACTGACAGAGGTGGGAGAAGTACTCCGATCAGAGTTTTACTGTCACAAGTAAAAGTCCCGCAGTTAAAATATAACTCAAGTAAAAGTAAAAAAATATTAGCATCAAAATATACGAAGTACTCATTATGCAGATTAGTCCATTTCAGGATACAATTATGTGTTTATTATATTTGAAATCATTAGTTCAAATCTGCAAAGTAACTAAAGATATTAAATAAATGTGTCAGAGTAAAGGCACACAATTTACCTCTGTAGTGGAGTAGAAGTACAAAGTAGCATACAATGTAAATACTCAGGTAAAGTACAAGTATCACAAAATTGTACTTTGCCAGAATCTACCCAAATGTACCCACCTCTGAATACTGAATTCTCTACCGACACTTGAACCCTCATCGAAAACAAAGAAAAAAGCAGCATATTTTAACGCCAAAGATTTGTTTGTATTGTTTCCTGATAACTGCCTTTAAATGGTTGATCAAAGAAAAAAAGAGTTGCTAATTAATTCTCTGTTATGTTTACTACTACTGTTTGAACAAGTCATGTTTTTAATAAAAAGATAGCCAAAAAGCAAATATGTACATAAGTGCTGTGTAGTAACAGCTAGAAAGCAATGTCATTAAATTGTATCTTTAAGATTCATGTAAGTGTTTAAAAGTTAAAGTTAAAATCAAATATTTTTAATTCTGTGTTGTTTCTGTTGTTGTTACTCTTGTTGTCTGATGTCCTCTTTCATGCTTCATCAGATAACAGCAGCAGAGTCGGTGGCGGAGGTGAAGGCAGTGGGAACAGTTGAAATCGCTCCAAATGTTCTCTCAGAGTCAACAGCGAAGCCTCCACCGTTCAAAGACCCCGCCTTCGTGGTGAGTGTCCGCGTCCATGTGGGTTTAAGTTCATCTGCTGCTGAGGCTCTTCCCTCACTGTCTCTGCCCCCTCTCTTAATCTCTGCAGCATTCTGGGATTGGTGGAGCAGCAGCGGGTAAAAAGAACCGGACCTGGAAAAATCTCAAACAGATTCTGGCTTTGGAGCGGACTTTACCCTGGAAGCTTGATGATCCCAACTGTATGTTTTTATATCTTATAATTTCATGTTGCACACTTTTATCAAAAGTACACTACCAGTCAAAAGTTTGGACAAATCTTCTCATTCAAAGTTTTTTATTAACTAGATAATTCCATATGTGTTCTTTCATAGTTTTGATGTCTTCAGTATTAATGTACAACGTAGAACAACATTAAAATAAACAAAAAGCCATTGAATGAGAAGGTGTGTCCAAACTTTTGACTGGTTCTGTACATGAAACTGAATATTTTTTGTGGTGTGGTGGTTTTGAAAAAAAGTCAAAGCTGTGCTATATTATTACATAAATTACGAAACTGCACAGAAAAGTCTACAAGTAATTAAATGTAAGACCTCTGTGTTCACAGACTACAGCATTGAGGCCCCTCCCTCCTTGAAGCCAACCAAGAAATACTCTGACATCTCTGGACTCCCTGTGAGTTATCACTTTACTAAAATACTCACTTTACGATAAACAAAATCACTTTTAAATCTTCTCTGAAGCACACACTGAATACGCTCTCTTTTTCCTCAGGCAAACTACACAGACCCTCAGACAAAGCTCCGCTTCACGTCCTCTGAGGAGTTCTCCTACATCCGCCTCCTCCCCACTGATGTAGTGACCGGATACCTGGCCCTTCGAAAGGCAACATGCATCGTCCCCTGACAGCCGAGCAAGACTTGAAGAGTGAAATACATTTAAACCCGAGCTGAAGTCATGTTTGTGTTTGAGCTGTCGGGCCTGCAAGAAACCAATGAGAGCGCTGTCTCCACAGAGAGGACACGGAGAAGTGCACTTCTTAAATGAACAGATGGTGCCACCAAACATTTGCACAGCTGTTTTAGGAAAGGCTTTAACTTATTATTCAGAGTTACTGTGTGACAAATAAATGCAACAAATAGTATACTTTATTTGAATGCTTATTCTCTTTACGAGACATGTTTGTTGTCTGTAGCTGGATATCATAATTTCACTGTGAGAGAATGTATGACAAGTGTTATCTTTAATGATATTTGTTCCCGATACATTTGAAAGCTTGATGTGGATTTGCTCCTGCTAAATCACATGGAATTACAGGATGCTGTGCGCCCCCTTGTGGTAGAACATTCAGGGGGGTAACAATAAAAAAAGCTGTTGGAAGAAGTTTGCCCATTTTAGAATGATTGTTACTTTTTACAAGTAGCTCATTGAACCTTACTTGAATACGTTTGATTTCAGTTTATCTCTTATTCATCTGTGTTTTCTAATATGTTTTGTATGAATAAATATTTCTAAGTGATACATTTAGAAAAATCGATGTCTGTTCCAATCTCAATGTTGCTTTTATGACAGCCTTTAATAACATTGGTTTGACAATGATATCAAACACTCCTCTGTGTTAAGGGCCACATCTACTGCTGTACATTTGTTTAAAACGCAGTGGCCTGCATCTATGTAAACTATGAACATGTAGCAGGCTAAGCCAAACCTTAATGAGCCAAGAGTCACCAAGCAGTCCTAATTCACATGCGTCATATGTAAATGTAAATTAGTTCCACATGGTTCTAATTCCCCGGCTGCGTTTGATGGATGATTTGCTCTCCGACTGGTACAGTGAGGATGTCTCATTAATCACACATGGCAGGCATCCAGCATAATTTCCATGGTACATTTTACGCTATTTTCACACACTTGATGAATGAGGACCATTGTATTACACATGTGAGCCATCCCTATAATGCTAACGAAGAATAAAAGAGCCGGCACAATTATCGAGGATCACGAGCTTGTGAATATAAACAAGCAAAATCATTCATAACCGCAGCCACTCTTACCACTGAGCTATGAATCCCTTTTTGTTGAAATAGGTTTGATAAATGTGCCATTTTAGTTTACAATTCTTTAGCTTCTGCTATTCTTTTTTTGATGCATTCTTTACACAGTCCCCGTGAAAACAGATCACCTTGTATCTTTGTTCGAAATACATCATCTATATTTGTTACCTATACATCTTTTTAATGTGCCATAAGATCCCATTGTTCCCAAAAGCATATATGATTAATTGTGCAGTGGACCAGGCTTTACCCATGCCTGAGTGTTACTTCTCCCAGCGCTGGACTTAGTTGCAGCTGATGAAGGCAGTATAGTATATCTATGAGAGTCAGAGCAGCATTTCCATTCCTGCTGTGGCATCAAAACCTCAACATAGTGATTAATGAACAGTGCCAGGGCTTTCTGCTACTCAAGCAGATGACCTGCTGGAATGTGTTTAAATGTGTGTTTGTCTCCTGGGCTAAAGTCAGGATCAGGTTAGAGTTATGATTCTACGATTAATGGTTACTATTTAAATGTTGTGATATACACAGGTATATATGCCCTGTTTGGGTGTCTATGTATGAATGCTAACTGCATACTATTGCCATATTTAGTCTATCAACTATAAAAAAACATAAAATGCAGTATATGAGTGGTTTCTCACTCATTACGCAGCAACAACAAATCCTGCATACCTGTCTTTTCAGTCCCAATGTGTCACCACCAGGGTGTATCAGAGCTCTACTCAGTCTGCCGTCCTACCTAAGATAAGACTTTATAGTTTTTTTCAGTTGCTAACACACTAAAATCTCACCTAAAGCACAATAATTTAAACTCACACTCAAAGAGCAAAACCTGAGCTCAAATCTCCAAAATTCTAAACACATGTTCAGCTCTGCACCCTATTTGCAATTCAACTTGGCACTTTTTGTTGTGTCTCGTCAAATGTCTTAGTTATGTTTATGTATTTTGTCTCTCATTTCCTGTTTTATTTTGTATATACCTCAGGCCCTGTTTCTTCCTCCCCGTGTGTGTTTTTCCCGCCATCATCAGTGTCTGCCCCGC